CTGTGTCATCCTTGGGTTGCTTTGATGCAGGATCAGCGCAGAGAACTTCCAAGGAAGCTAGTGACCTGTTTTGTAAGCATGAGGTGTGCAGCAGAAGAGTAGAAGCAGTTGAGAACATTGATCAAAACACAAATTTGATTGCTGGGGGAGGATGATAAAGGGAAATGCCTCTTTCTGTGTTCAGAAAACTGGAAGCTGCCACCAACTGCTTCTCTGTGCCACCAGTTCTAGTCTGCAGGCAGACTGAGCTTGGGAATCTCTGTAACTAGTAGGCATTTTCAAAATGGAAAGCTTTATTAGACTCAAAGAAGTTTTCAGAATTATAGATGATAGACACCCTTAAAAAAACATCCAGGCTAGAAGAATTCAAGCGAAGTAACATTACCGGTACAGAAAAGATTATGGTAAAATGTTCCAAAGGAGCTTAAATAACTCAGGAGACAAAGTTCCAAATGACTTTGAATGGCATTTTACTTGTTAAAGGACTCAGGTCATTTAATAATCTCAGATTCTTGTTTCTCAACATTTTTTCATCCTCAGAATCAACACTTCTTCATCCTCAGAAAAGCATATTACATGTATCTATGTGCATTATAATATGTAATTGCTAACGACAGAGAGTTTCAGATAGTAGGAAATAATTACTAATGGATAATTGAAAAAGTATGCAGCTGTCAGGTTTTTTTTTTATATGAAAGTATTTCAGGTAGCTATGGCTGAAGGCTGAGTATTCTTTGGCATTTCTCCCCCTCCACTTTTCAGTTATTTGCTTTTTCCATTTTAAAGGTGCTTGTATATACTTGGTGATTCACGTTCTTGACAGTTTATCAGTGTTTTATTTGAAAACATTGCACTTAAAATAAAAGGAAATGAATTATTTTTAAGTATTTACCCTCCTTTGAAGGTTTAGTACCAAAAAAACCCTACTTTTTCTATTTTTAACAACTTAAAAGAGACTGGGGTTTTTTTACTGTGTATTAACAAACATTTGGTTACCAGTGTCCATCAGAAAAATAACAGATGGAACTTAGGGTAATGATTATTCTAGTGCCATGGATATGGCTCTTGGAGAAAGTATTCTTTTAGCTAACTCTCTTCAGAATAGCAGAGTTCAAACAACCTGTTTGAGTCCATTTCCCGTGTGTGAACAATAGAAAGAAATAGATTAAAATGTCTTGTGTTCTTGTCTGATGTAATGTAAGATTCCTTCACTGTTTTGGGGAGTACTTGCAATGAATGCCTACCAAAGAAAAGTCTTGTTTTTCAGAATTGGCAGTCAGAGTAAACTGTACATTACAGTGTTGATCCATCAAGACTGACCAAATTTTGTTTTTCCCGCTGTAGGTTTATTTCACTTAGGGAAACAAAGCAGTTTTAATGTCCTCGTGTATCTTGTGATGAGGCCACATCCACACTAAGAGGAGTTCTGCAGTATAGTGCTATAGAATTATTCCTATACTGGTAACTTCTTCCCTGAGTGGAAATGGCTGAGATTATTTTTATATTATATTCTGTTGGTGTAGCTACATCTATAATTTTATCATTGCTGAAGGCAGAAATTTCTAAATAGCAAGACTGAATGGCTAAATATTATACAACTCAAAATTTTCATAAATCCCAGTGAACTATAAACACTGTTCATAATAAAAATAATTCTCAACGGTTACCTTGAGAGAATAGTTGTGGTTTACAAGAATATTGTTTAAATTTTGAAATGCTTGTTTTTCATTTCAGGAAGAATCATCTAGACAAGCCGGAAAGAGCAAAAAGATAAGGAAGGACAACAAGAAGAGAACAGAACACTAGTTTATTTTTTGAAAACTTTAAAATATTATTTTGCTCATATTTATACAAAGAAAACCTGGACCTTATTGCCTTATCCAGTACAACAGATATGTTTTATGCAGAAGAGAATTCAGTAAAGATATAGATATATTTTCATCTTGTTTTGTGATTTTTTTTCTGCTGTTCTGAAGTAGAGCTTAGACACAAGTGCTCTGTTTTTTATACATTTCAGCTCCTTGTTATGAGGACATTGCAGCATCTGGAACCATTACCCCATCCTACCCCCTCCCAGCAAACAACAGCCGACTAATTACTAATGTGGATTTCTCATCTTCTCCATTCCTGGATTCAAACTCAAATATCTGTCTTGTATTAGTAATTGAATTCTCTATTTTTTTGTATTAAGGCTGAGACTAGAGTCGTTTGTACACTAGGTTACTTTCTAAGTTTCAGATTTTCTTCTGTAAAAGGAGTGCATGTGGCCGAGTGCTGTATGGCCTTGGAGAGCCTGGTCCTGCCTGTGCAGTTCTCAGTCAGATGCTAGATAGGGCCTGCTTAGTGACATAAGAAAGGCTAAACATGGGCAATAAACTAAGAAATGTGATGAAATTACTAAAAATTTCTTTGAGGATTGTTCTGAGACAATCGGGACTCTGGGAGCCTGTTGAGAAGTTGAGAATTAAGTGTTGCATAATTAAAGGAAACAATGGTTTCAACGAAGTACATGGGGATTTTGAAATAGGACTTACATGTAGTAATGAAGATATAAACATTTTGAAGACTTCTGTTGGTGTAGAGTGGGAAAAAAAGCAAGTGTTATTGATATGATCACAAAGACTTGAATTTTCTAGTCTTTTATGAATGGCTTTCAGGCTTTAATGCATTTTCAAAAAAACAAAACAAAACAAACCCACCAGGATGTTTCATCAGTTAATTGTCATATTTTTATTTAGATGAGATGAAATTTTTTTTAACATACCCTTGATATCTTCCACTTGGAGAGGGTAGATTTTAATGTTCTGTTGGGTTTTTTCTTTTTGTTTTCCCAAGTTATTTCCTAAACTTTGTGACCTCTTAGTCAGAGGTACTTTCTTAGGTCAGGTGCACTTTATGTATTTTGCTCATATAGTAATGTCAGGTCTCTGACTATTCTTAATGACTTTTCTCCAGTGGCACTTACATAGTTTAAAGGTGTAATTGTCAGACTATCTTACTCAACCACCAGTTTGGTATATAACTTTTTGCTGATAGCTTCTTACACTGGATTGTTCATTGTAGTTCTCCAGCAGAGGTACCTCAAAAAACTTTTCTCTCAAAGCAGACTTCATCTAATCAAAGTAACTATTTCAGAGTTTGATAGAGCAAGAGAGATACTCCTTAGCAATTCCAGTAACTTAAAAAATACCACCAAAATACATGATTAAAAAACAAAACAAACATGCTGATTCCTGCATTGATTTATTAATACAGTTTTGTGAAGTTACACTAACTTGTCTGCATAGAAAAGGTCTTTTGAGTTCAACCTTAGCATTTGTACTTGTGATACTAAAAATGTCTTTCCTCTCAGGAAAGGAGATCCACACTGTGTATGTCTTGTACTTTTTCGGTCATATAAGTATTTCTTGTTCATAGTTTGTCTTATAGATAGACTCCTTTAAAGTAAAAATTTTGGCATTCACTTCAAGTACTTTATTGACTTAAGTATTGCAAAGTTTCTGTTGCTTTTCTGAGAGTTTTGAGATTGTAGCAATTCTCTTTGTATTTCTGTTTGCAAGCATTTCATAAGTTTAAACTTCCTTTATTCTAAGAGGAAGATCCAACAAGGGAAGGAGGTTAGAAAAATGACTGGCAACAACTCTTAACTTTATAAATTCTGTTCGAAAATTAAAAATAACGTTAAACTGAAGCAGCAGTTTTAACTGTTTTTGTTATCAAATATTGTGAATTTGTTTAAGACATAATCCCTGCTTGTGGAAGAGTAACAAGTTTCATTATCTGTCAAAAAAAAAGAAGAAAAGGAGTATGGAATTAATTTATACCTAAAGTACAGTTGCCTGTATAAAAATATATCAATGAAGTATCAAACACTAGCAGGAAAAGGTGGATTGTGGTTTTTATTTTGTCTTTTTGGCCACTCTGTTGTCTAATCTCTTTATGTTATTGTTTTTGGTTTGCTATTCTGGAAGTGAATTGGGAGTAAGGATGAAAACAGATTAGCCATTACAGTACCACAGTCTCTGACAAAGTAGTATCAGAATGATTTATTTTTCTTTGTGTCTCAAACTTCAGTGACCAGACCAAGACTTTGTATCTGCTCTCTGATTGGGCTATTTTGTTAGCCACGTACCTTCTGAAGAACTGGTAGGTGGTTTCTCTTTCAAACAGAGACTGTAGGTAGAAGAGCCTTAATTAATTCAAGACAGTTGAGCAGTGGAGCAGAACTGTTATTCTTACAAGCTTACACGTGGTTCTGAGTCTTAACAGTTCTTATAAATGTCCTACATGTATCTGGAGATCTTCCATGAAATTTGAAAAGGTCACATTTCTAAAATCTACTACCCTTAACTTTTAAAAGTGAAGATAATTGTCTTTCTTAGTGGAGCATAGCAATTCTGGACTGTTTGTAATTTCTTGATATTGCAGGTAATTCACAGTGGTGCTTCTACTGTTTTATATGTGTTCTTTTTTAATGTGGGGGAAAGAAGAAAAGAGAAAACTGGAACATTTACTGTGGATCCTTTTTGTGTGTTCATCTGTGGTGTGCATTTATTGCCTAACACGTCTATTTGAATAAAAAATGAAAATCAGCTGTTTATTAGCTACTTTAGATATTTTTCTGTCTAGACCTGTGTTCTATACTGATTTAATCATAGTTATAGCCACACAATAATTCTTCTAAAAGCTCATTTAGTGGATCCACTGTTAAGCATATTTGTAGATTACTTGCTACACACAGGCTTTCCAAGCATGGAGTGGAAGAACTGGATATTTAAGATTTCAAGAAACCAAGTTAAATCTAAGTTAACTCCAAGAAGAAATGTTGAGGGATGGAGGTGGAAAAGAATTAGGTAGCTATATACACCTAGAAAGCACCCCAAGATTTAAGCCATTTGGCAAGGTCAGTTGGTTCTCATGAAAAACAGTGAAGCTGCTGAGTTTACTCTTGAGGCTTCAGTATGGCTAGCAGTGTTTTCTACATTACCTGGAAATGAAATAAAGCTTAAAGCAATAATGGACTTGCATACTGGGAAGATATTTGTATGGATAATAAAGTTCTGCATTTTTTGTACTGCGGCCATCCAAACATTTAGTAAAAGCACTTGGCAAATGCTAATGAATTTGTTCCCACAACAGAAGCAAAGACATGGCAGCCAGCATTTTTCAAATTTAAGGGTCTAAAATTAGACACTAAAGTGTTTTTAGAACCCGTAATAAAAGTGATTGAATTTTTACAACTGTGGAATACTCACAGCTCTCTGCAAGTAGCTTCATTACTCATACAAACTATAAGCATTTGTAGAAGACACACAATTTTTCCCACCAGTGTGGGAAAAAAAGCCTCATCCTGTTAATTGCCAAGCTCTGATTCATGTTCAGGGCATTGATATTTAGTTCCTGGGTTCCTGCGGCAGCAGCTGATGTTGTGTCACTGGGGTCGATGCTCAGAGTTTTGAAAGTGATTCAGTGGAAGTTTTGCAGGTGATCTCTGAGGGTTGGACCATTACTGGTTAACTGCTCTGGTAAGTAATTCTATATATGGTTATTTACATCATATCAGTTTTCAGCCCTAGAGTCTACAAAAAGAAGAACAACAATGAAGTCGAGCATGTCTTTGGTCAACAAAAAGATACAACAGAGAGGAACCACAGGCTTGCTGAATTGCAATGACACTAGATAAGCAAGGATGAAATTAGAAGACAGCTTAAATTCTCATTAAGATATGTACACAGGATTGAAAAAAGAATTCAGAAAAAATTGTCCATATTGCTAGCAAGCAAAACACTTCTGGGAGGGAGGGAGGAAAGCAAGAGAGAACATCAAATCAGCCATCCTGACCTCCACAGATAAGAATCAGGTTGCTGAAAGAAGAACTTGCATTTTAAAATACGAGCCTGAAAAAAACCCATATTTCTTAACAAGTTACTCTTCCAGAATTATACGGTTTAAAAAATCTTAAGAAAATTAGATTTATCTAGCATCAAAAGCTTTTGCTTTTTTCCTGTCCTGAGACAATTTTGGTTTTGATGTTTATTGGATTTTTGACCCATCTTGTTTTAACTCCTTGTGAATCTCAACCTTTTGGATAACTGCCAGATACAACTTTCTTCCCAGGCTGAACTGACCAGGATACACAACATGCACAACAGCACTGCCGGAACTCTGCATGTGGCTGCAGCGTGTAATGAGACTTGGCCCACCCAGTCACCGAGCTCTGAGTTTTCACTGGGCGTGTTGGTGCTGCTGACTTTCCTCATGGTGTTGCTATGTCTGGTCACCATCCTTGGAAACATCCTGGTGATCCTTGCTTTCATCCTGGACAGAAATCTCAGGCATCGGAGTAACTATTTCTTTCTCAATCTTGCTGTTTCTGACTTTGCAGTGGGTAAGTCACAGTGGTGGAGGCCTGTGCTAATTGTGTCCTGGGAATCTTAGAAGATGCAATGGATTTTATTTTCTGTGTGGTTTCTTCTAAGATAACTATTTCCCAAATGTTTGTAGGGGAAGGGAAAGAATTGGTGGAAGTTGCGTGGTGTGTTTTAGCCTATGATTTTTCAGAAAAAAATGGATGCTTCTTCAGGTAAACAGGTAATGTTTAATGTTACTGCTTCAGGATAAAATACTACTGTGTGTGAATTTTATGGAATAACAAATAATGGAAGTTGTTTATGAAGAGTTTTGATGGAAGTTTAGATAGTCCAATTACAGCATGTATTGCCTGGCAGATCTTCCATATGTGGTCGATATCTTCTATTTCAGTCTGGTGTCACACAATACAGATAATCACCTGAAGTTTGTGGTTAAATAATGATGAATAGTATTTTTAAACATTTTGCTATACATGCTCTATCTTGAGCAATACCTTAGGAATATGTGTTTGTATAGGTAAATAAAAATAACAAACAGTTTCTAAGAAGTTTGATTTTACATGTATATATTTGTAAATAGGGACACATTTAATTTTGAATGTGTACTGAGAAAAAGTACAATTAAGACACAAATGTGACGTGTAGTTGAAGATTGATGTATTACAATATTCTGTGAAGTGTTGAGTGTCTCTACTAAAAGTCTTATTAGATTATTGGGTGTGCAGAAGGATGGTTTTGAACAGTTCTGGCTATTTCATGAAATCCATATTCTGACTTGTGATATCACAAAAATATTTTTAAACTGTTTTTATTCTACTATTTTTTAGCCACACATTTAAAAAGAATGTTGAAAGAAAAGAAGAAACTCTACTTAAAATTTATTGCCAGTATCAGAAGTTCTATTAGGGGCATAGCTTCTAATAGTCCTGTCCTTGTGATGTCCAGGTCTTGTTGTAAAATATTTTGATCTCTTCCCCCATATGCTTGATTTCTTCTTCCAGCTTACATCTGCCTTGTTGTGCCACAGAGCTCTTGTTGCCTGCTGTCCAGTTGCATTATACAGGAAAAAAACACCACAGCAGAAAAAAACCCAAACTCTCAGTGGATAAAGTGGTGTTCTGTCATCTGGCTCACAATCTAGCACCACAGTGTACAAATACTAGCATCTAGCTGGGAAGTATGAAGTAAATAATGTACTCTGTCAAAGAAGGAAGTAGAGCTTACTTGGCATTACCTAATTTCCATAAGTTTTTGTTTCTGATATTATGTTTACCAGAATGTCTAGTTTTAATTCTAAATTTGGTTAAAAGCTTTGCCTACATTAGAGTCAAACTTGTTTGTATTTCCATAGCTACATAATTTAGATTTGAGGTATACCTAAATTATTCTTACTTTCTGCATGATCCTAATTGCTGAAAGCTTGCAGTCATTTGCTTATTCTTTGAACATATCTAATCTATCTGATTTTGACATTCAGCAACTTTTGCTTTACCTCTGTGCTTCAGGACCTATAGCTGGATTTGAATAGAAATCTCTTGATTCTTAGTAGAGAGAGAATAACAGGAATTCTGTTATTTTTATGGAAATGGAGACTCTCAAGATACTCTTCAATACCTGCTACACGAGTACACACTATTATGTAGTAAATCTAAAGTTGAAATCATAGCTTTTCTCCCTCCATGAATGGTAAAATCTGTAATATGGCATTTCGCCTGAAAGAGCAAGTGTTAGTTGCTCTATAGATGCAGTGATTCTATTCCATTGCAGCGTTTATGCTGTTCACTGCATTTCTGCATCCTAGCAAACTCCACCACTAGCTCTTCAGCCTCCCAAGGCTGCATTGTGACTCTGTGTAGGGTGATCACCTCGAAATTCGTTAAAATAAGGTAATATTGTCCACTTTCACAACATTTGTATTTAACAGCCTAAATTTAGATAGCCATGCATACCGGTGGGTCACTCATGTATGTTCCCATAGATAATACCCTATCAGCTCACCACTGAAAAGTGGTTATGATCAAGAATTATGATGAAAAGAAATGTAAGGCTGGGTGTGTTTAATTAACTGTGCAGTTTTTGCCAGCCTTCTGATTGTATAGTTTTAAAAATTAGTCTGAAACTCAGATTTCTATAAAAAGTTACTTCTGGAACACTTTTGGACACCATATCATGCTTCTAAGAGGATAGAAGCATGACAGTTGGATAATTTATTGTAGAAAGCAGTTGGGGAAAAGATGTTTTTGTTTGTTTTAATTTCAGCGATTAATACAGAATAGTGTTTACTTCAGCAGGTAAAAAAGTCAGCTGCTCCTTCCTTTAGCAGGTGATATTAACAGAAGTAATAATGATACACAATAAACACAATACACCTTTCAGAGAGGTATTAATTGTAAGAATGTTACTAGTGCCTAGTTTGTAGTAAAGTTTTCATTGGTTGCATGATAATACAAAGCCTTCCATGTGGCACAGAAATGTTTCTATGCTTTGACAAACAGTCCCTACAGTGCTGACTGACATGTGTGCTTGTTTTATTTTCATAGGTGTGTTCTGTATGCCTTTGTACATCCCTTATGCCCTGACAGGGACGTGGCACTTGGGACAAGGCCTGTGCAAGGTCTGGCTTGTTATGGACTATCTCGTGTGCACAGCTTCAGTCTTTAGCATCGTCCTTATCAGCTACGACCGTTTCCTGTCAGTTACAAAAGCTGTAAGAATAACATTTCTAATTATAGCTTTATATATATTGGAATTTCTATAAAACTCAGAGTATTCACTATTAACACTAGAAGCTAAATAGTCCTTCATTATTGTAGCATTTTTTTCTGAAAAATGATGATTCTTCGGTGTTGCATTGGCACTTAGAGATAGGACGTTGCCTTGTCTATAATTTCAATGTTACCCTCCTACCATCTGCATTAGAAATTATTTAATAACACTACAGAGAAGGGAAGACCAAGGTAGGAAAGAGACAGCAGGCATGTGGAAAACTTGGGCTTTGGCCGTTAGAAGAGGTGTGACGAAAACTGGATTGAGTCAAGGATATGCTTAGGCTTTATAAGAAGAGGTACGGAGGGAGATGTGGGATGGACTGGGTGAAGATCAGGTGAAGATCTGAATTACCGCAGGGGGTGATTGGCATGCGCTGCCAACAAGCAGTTGAGTGGAAACTAAGCCCTTGAAGCAGAAAGAAGAATGAATCACAATATGTGGAGAGGTACGAGGTGTTTCTTGAGTGTTGTCATTCTTCTGCTACAGAAGATATCCAAGGTATTCAGTAATAAATATTATCATTCACCATTTCTAAGCTCTATTGGTGTTTGGTCATAGAATCTTAGAATGGTTTGGATTGGAGGGGACCTTAAAGATAATCTATTCCAATGTTCCTGCCCCAGGCAGGTGCACCTCCCACTAGACCAGGTTGCTCAAAGCCCTATCTGGCCTGGCCTTGAACACTTCCAGGGATGGGGCATCCACAATTTCTCTGGGCAACCTGTTCCAGTGCCTCACCACCCTGACAGTAAAGAATTTCTTCCTAATATCTAAAATAAACCTACCCTCTTTCAGTTTGAAGCCATTCCTTCTTGTCCTGTCACTACTTGCCCTTGTACAAAGTCCTTCCCCATCTTTCTTTTCTTTTGTTTTAAAGCTGAACAGTAAAGTACGAAAATACCTATATTTAAGATATTAACGAAGTTGCAGAGCTCAGAATGTGAAAAATGTAAATTAAAAGGGCCTCTGCAACCCAACTGAGATCCATGTTCTTATGCAACTAGTGATGGTCTTTGTTTACATGATCACATTCTGGTTTTCTCCTTTAGATAATTAGAATGGAGTGAGTCCGGGAGTGTGTAACATAGGGCTGTTATCCAAAGAAAAGATGCTATGCTTCCTCATAGACTTGGGATCCACTTCTGACTATGCTGCAAACATGGCTCATGGCCAGGTGCCAGTCATTTTAGACTTAATAGTTTGTGAAGTTGTGCTGAGCTTCCTATTTTCTGCCTCTAAATTGAGATGCTTGTGGTCTTGCGAAGGGCTGCAAATTCATTACCGCAGAACTGGAGCTGCTCACTGAGCCATATGGTGCTTTGAGATGTAGAGGAGTCTGAATCTTCAGGCTACAGTAAAATAAAAAATCTAAAATAATGTGTATAACAGCTCACTACTGCTCTGTTACTTGCTGGTGAAATAGGGACAATACCCCTTGTGTCATATGAGGCTGTGAAGATACTGTACATTAATATTTGTGTAGCATGCAAGTGCTACACTTATGAATGGCATAGGATGCTGATGAGGAAGATAATAGTTCTGAGGAAAGCCTGAGATGTCAAATGTTGAACAGAATGGAGGAAATAAAATTGTCCAGCTTTTCATTAACTAATCTTCTTGTGCTCTGAAAGATGCAGGGGACCGAGAGCTGGAAGTGTGTATTGGACATACTGGCTGGGCTACTACAGGGTGGTTTTAACTCCTGTATTTCCTAACTTTGAATGTCATGATTTTAATTCTTGATATGCTGTCTAGGTAAACATAAAAGCATCAAGATTTTCAGTAATGCAATGAGCTTTTTACAGGTAAAGCAAATGTTAAAATAGAATGTTTAATAAAGCATATGTGTGGGATAGATTTTTCTGCTATGGCTGGAGGAAGCAGTATTAAAAATGATGTTATCTAGTGTTTGCAGTCTCACATGGCAACCTATCTAATATAGAAAGCTTCTACTTTTGCTGTGCAGGAAGTAATTCCCACAGCTGCTTTTGCTCTCTGCTGAGCCTGGGCTAATGAATCATAAACCGATTCCTTACTAATTCCTTGTTGCTACTTTACTGAGCGGTGGCAACAAGCTATGTCCTTTCACACCTTGAAGTCAAATGGTACTTTAGCCATCATAATTTCTGCTCCTCTCCAATCCCAAGTGTTAAAATAAGTCATAGAGCTACAGTGCATGAAGAACAAGACTAAGAGTTTTTTCAGGACTGTACACAGTGAAGATGTTCTTGGTGTCTGGGGAAATTACAGAACAAATATTATATTTGACTTGCTTATGGTTTCTTGGAGACAGTTTTTCCAAAATGTTGTCTGAATATGTGACGTCCTTTTCCCTCATAGATATCTTACAGAGCCCAGCAGGGAATAACCTCCAACCCTGCCATCAAGATGGTGGCCATATGGGTCTTAGCCTTTCTCCTCTATTGCCCAGCAATCCTCTTTTGGGAGCGTGTGGCCGGACACAGCGCAGTAGCGGCAGATCAGTGCTACGCTGAGTTCTACAACAACTGGTACTTCCTCCTGTGTGCATCCACCCTGGAGTTCTTTGTGCCACTGCTCCTGGTGATCTACTTCAATATGCACATCTTCCACAGCATCCAGAGGCGCCAGCGGCAAGGCAGTGTGCAGGACTGTGAGCCTCCAAGGAGCAGCAGCCTGTCCTGGAGATTTTGCCCTTTACCGAGGTCAGGGGCATCTTCTCCTTCCTCGGAAGCAGAGGACAGTGTTTCATCCCTAACGAGGTCGTGGAGACCAGCAGTGATGGCTAACTGTCCATCTAGAACAGAAACCAGTTCTACAGCTCTCAAAAGGAACTTTTCTGTTTCTTTTCATTCAAGGACTGGGTCAAAACTGCAGCGGGACAAAAAAATCGCGAAGTCACTTGCCATAATTGTCTGTGTGTTTGCCATTTGCTGGGCCCCGTACTCTTTATTAATGATTGTTCGTGGGGCCTGTCAAGGAAAGTGCATCCATAATTCCTTGTATGAAGCAGCCTTTTGGCTTTTATGGATCAATTCCTCTTTGAATCCATTTCTTTACCCTCTCTGTCATATGAGGTTTCGAATGGCTTTCATAAAAATATTGTGTCCCAAAAAGTTTGCAATGTTGAGATCAGGTAAGACACCTTCTCTTTAGAGAGTTAAAATAAATGTGTTAACAATAAGGTTCCTCTGTTATTTAGTGGTATTTTTTATATATATCTTCAGCATAAACAGAGAAAAAACCATTTGTTTATTGATGACATTGGTTAAGAGTGCAGCAGAATTATGTATTTGCCCTGATATTGCTAATTTTTAGAATCTTGCTTTTGGTTTTGCTAGAATGGCACCAGATTAATCACCATCTAGTGCATCAAAAAGAATAAAAAATTTTGCTGGATGTCCTCTTGGTTTGTGGGTGTGAGGTACTTTTTTTTTTTCCACTTTTTTTCCCCCTGTTTTTAATGTCTAGTGCTGGCTTTGTTTACTGTATACAGTGAAAGAAGTCTTTACAGATATCTCTGTAGAAGTTCACTGGAGGGAAATACCAGCTTGTGTATGTGTTGAAGTAAAATTTATGTCCTATTTGTGAACCTAAAGCTCTCAGAGAAGAAACAGTTCTGCTACATTTTTGAAAGGTTATATAAATACTCACAGAAGCAGTATAATTTCATTTTATAAACTATTATGAATACAAGATAGTGCCCTGTAGTTATTAGAATTCCCACAGTGAGCAATATGCAAGAGAGTGGACTGCCTAATCTACCGTATCTGTCCTTTTCTAATTTTAATATAGTTCATGCCTGGTGTTGCAGGACACAGTACATGTAAGTTAGTAATTCTGAACGATTTTCAGAGAATGAAATTTTCCATGGAAATGGAATTTTGAGATTGGTTATCAAAATTGTTGCAGACATAAATGGTTGTTAGTCTTTTCACCCATACTGTATTTTGTCCTGACACTCTCTTTGGTCATGCTTAAATGATATTTAGTGCCAGATCTGTGCAGAATTTGATGGCCTGAAAGATAGGCCAGGCTTGGGCACATGATCACTTTCCTGTTGAATTAGCAGAGCAAGCAATTCTAAGTTCATGCTGGATTTATCATTTTGGCTGTCTGTGCGAGAATAGACAATAGCCTCTCCAGTGTGAAGCTTTGCAAGTGCAAAGGTATTCCATCAAAATGTCTGGAACAAATTTGATCCGACAGAGTGATTTTTATACTAGATCAGTCTTTGTGCCCTATTACTGTGACATTATATGGATTTTCTCTGCCACAGAACAAGTATCAAACTGGATTTTTTTATCAGTGAGCGAGGGCTGTATTCAATGCTTGAGAACAGGATTTACAGAGGTCTGAAAGCTGACACAGAGGTGTCTCAAGCAGCTGTTAACAAATAAAGCAGTTGAATGTGCAGTGCTGAAAGGAGTGGGTAGATGTGTTGGAGAAGGCAATGGAGCTTGATTACAACTCATTCCATGTGCCAAACCTTCTTACCTTGTGTTGAGTGTTGCAACTCACCTAGAAGGCTTTCATGGATGGGTAAGTGAGAGTCACTGGTTACATTGTTTTTCTCTCCTTTTATGTAATTTTCTTCCCCTTTGTGTGTGTATATGTACAGATATAAATGTATAAAATATGGGAAGAGAAATGTGATGCACAGAACAATGAAGAGCAGTAATCCATTTAAATAGTTTTTAAACTAATTTGAAAATGGCTGTAGAAATGTTGCAACAGCACAGTACTCCTTTGCAAGCACAATTCAAATGCATATAAGCAGCTTAATCATAGCACAAAAGTTGATGGCTTTGAAGAGCTAAAATGTCATTCTGTTCAGAGGTCTGGAACTGAAGACTTCTCTTGATAGTTTTCACACTGGTGGAAGATTATCTTTCACCATTCATCCTCTTGATGTTTTCTTGCTTCACATGGATAGTGTTCTGGATTGTGAGCCTGATTTCCAAGAGAGATACAGCTTCAGGAGGAAGTCATTGATTCAGCACAGCTGTTTTTACTGTCATGAGCTAAGGTGCTGGCATAGATTTTGCACAGTTTTTCACAGAATCACAGAATCTTTTCTGTGAGGCTTAAAAAATCCAAACGCACACACAGAGTTAAAACATTTATAGAATAGCTGGTGCACTAAGCATCTGTTAAACAGATAAACTGAAGATAGGCCCAAAATGGGAAAGTATTTGAGTTGCCTGCTTTTCTATCCCTATGCTTTTAGTATAAATATTCTGATTGTATTTTGTGATTAAAGAATGTGTTGCTTGTTTTGGAAAAATGACCTACAAAATTATTGACTAGGTAAACTGAATCCACATTGTGCAGTGCTGGGAAACTAGTTTGCCAGGGAGAACAATGTGCAGCAAATTTGAAACAACATAAAGTAGGGAAGCTACTGGAGATCAATGTTCTTTAGTTTCTGTATTACACACAGTGTTCAAACTGTTTTGTCACACCATTCCTGTATACTAGAAGAATTTGTTATATTTTTCTAGTTGTTGAAAATTTTGCTTAGTGCTCACAGGGTAGGTCAAGCACTTGGTTGCTTTGCTCATATCATTAAAGCTGTCTTAGTCAAGGTGGCATTGAGTCTTCTCCCAACTGGACATTTTCCAGAGTTATGATAAGATACTTATTCAGCATTTGTTCTTATAACCTGACTCAAACGGGCTTTGTTTGCCAAAGGGTTTTCTAAGCCAAGTCTCTATCCAGTCACCCATTTCACGTCCTTGAATTTTCTTCTGTCTTTGCAGATGTCAAATAGGCCTTGTAAATACATAGTTACAGTCAGTATATGACTTTGTGAGGTTCAACTCAAAATACACCAGTGTTTTTCTAAGTTAACCCTCTCAGGTTTTAAAAAACATCCAACAAATAAAACATACATGTTGGAAGAAATTGTGTTATCTTTTAGTTGTTTTTTTTTTTAACAGGTATTGAATCTGAATGATTCTCCTAATGTCTATGTCCTTTATGTTCCAAAGGAAGGACCACATAGATTTCTCCCTCAGCCCCATGAAGGACTATGATTAAAACTTCAACATTTGATTTATTCCCTAATATAAAAAACAAATGACTACTCTCCCCTTGTCCTCTAATCTAGTAATTTTATCAAAGAAGATCACCACAAAGTTGCTTAGGCATGATTTACGCTTGGTAAGTCCATGCTGACTGTTTCCAGTCATCTTTTCATCTCCCAGGTTCTCAGAAATACCTTCCAAGAGGACTCGCTCCATTATTTTCCTAGGGTATAAAGAGAATTTGACCTTTTGTCCTTGTGGCAGCATTTGAAGACGGTTGCAACATTTGCCTTTCTTCAGTTGTTGGGAATCTCCCTTCATCTCCATGACCATTCAAAGGGGATAGAAAGTGGCCTTGCAAGGGTTGTAGCTGGTTCTCTTGTCAGCCTTGAGTGTAGCCCACTGGGTCCAGAGAGGAGCATAAGGGTGGAAAGCCTGAGTTAAGAGTGAAATCAGCAGCCCAGCTGAAGTGCATGTACACCAATGCACGCAGCATGGGTAACAAACAAGAGGAGCTGGAAGCCATCGTGTAGCAGGAAAGCTATGATGTAGTTGCCATCGCGGAAACATGGTGAGATGACTTGCATGACTGGAGTGCTGCCATGGGTGGCTACAAGCCCTTCAGAAGGGACAGACAAGGTAGGAGAGGTGGAGGGGTGGCTCTATATGTTAGAGTCTCTTGACTCTGTGTAACTTGAAGTCAGTAACAAAAAGGTTGAGTGCCTGTGGGTCAAAATCAGGGGGAAGGCCAACAAGGTGACATCCTGATGGGAGTCTGTTACAGACCACCCAACTGGGATGATGAGGGTGATGAATTATTCTACAAGCAGCTGGCAGATGTCTCAAAATCACCAGCCCTTGTTCTCATGGGTGACTTTAACCTGCTGGATGTCTGCTGGGAACTCCACACAGCGGAGAAGAGGCAGTCTAGGAGATTCCTAGAGTGTAGAGAGGATGATTTCCTGCTCCAGCTGGTAAATGAGCCTACCAGGGATGGGGCCCTGCCAGACCTGCTGTTCACAGAGAGGGGCTGGTGGGAGATGTGGTGGTTGGAGGCCATCTGGGGCAGAGTGACCATGAAATAATGGAGTTTTCAATACTCAGGGATGCAAGGAGGGCCATCAATACAACCTCTACGCTGAACTTCCGCAGGGCAGATTTCGGCCTATTCAGAAGACTGGTTCAGAGGGTATCTTGGGAAACACCCCTTGAAAACAAAGGGGTCCAGGAGGGCTGGACATGCTTCAAGAAGGAAGTCTTGAATGTGCAGGAGCAGGCTGTCCCAGTGTGCCAAAAGGCAAGCTGGCAGGGAAGACGACCAGTCTGGCTGAACAGGCAGATTTTATAGGAAATTAGGGTAAAAAAGAGAGCTTACTGATTATGGAAAAAAGGGCTGGCTACTCAGGAAGGGTTTAGGAATATAGTTAGGTCATGTAGAAAGAAAATTAGAGAGATGAAGGCACAACTGGAACTTAATCTCGCCACTTCTGTGAAGGATAACAAAAAGTCCTTCTACAGATACATCAATAGGAAAAGGAGGGGCAAGGAAAACCTCCATTCTTTATTGGACATGGGCGGGAATATAGTTATCAAAGATGAGGAAAAGGCTGAACTATTTAACACCTTCTTTACCTCAGTTTTCAACAGTAACACAGGTCGTCCTCAGGACAGCTGGCTTCTGGAGCATGTAGAAAGAGATAAGAATCTGAATAGCCCCCTGTAATCCAGGAGGAAACAGTTAGTGACCTGCTGAGCCTCTTGGATCCCCACAAGTCTATGGGACCAGATGGGATCCACCCAAGAGTGATGAGGGAGCTGGCTTTGTGACTGCACAGGAAGTTCGAGTTCCTCCGGTACTGTCGTGGGTGGGAGTGGAAGGCTTAGACAAGGTTATTAAAGAAGCCCTGCCATTGGGTTACAAGGTGCAGAAAGGACTCACTTTCTAAACTCCTTCTCAGAGAGGAATTTAGGTGCAGCTGAATCCTATCTTAGCCTCAAATTGTGTCAATGGTTTAAGTTTAAGGAATTACAGAGGTGTGATTAAATCGCTTTGTCCTGCAGGTTTTAATGATGGCAAATTGGCTATATTTGCTTAAAATGAATTATTTATTGTGACAAATGAACAGATGAGTGTAGAGACAAATGATCCAAATCAGAATTATTTACTACATGGTATAAAGGCTGAGAACCTACTCACAGAGTATAATATAGCATAAAGTAGTATAGTACACTGTATCAAAGCGATTATATTAAAGCAATTGTATCAAAGCTAGCAAAAGAAACAATCATTAAGTAGAGATTGATATAACTTACCATACAAGATAGTGGGCAGATCTCTCTCTTTCTCTTAACCTCTGGGGAGTAAGCATGAAGGGGTGTCCCTGCTTCATGGGAGAAGCTCCACACTTCAAGGAAGTACGTGGAAGAATCTGCTATATGAAAGTTGAATGGGGCTTTTGTAGTTCGGGGCTTTTATAGTTATAAAGTGATGGACTGGTAGTCACAGATTTACAGGTCAGCAACTAGCTTATCTGTCAAATCCTCCTTCAAAAAGCAGGATGTGTGTTTGAAGTTTGGTGAACCAGACTAATTTTAGCATAATTCAACACCAAAACACCACTTGGTGTCAGCTGTAGCTCACCACAGATAACTTGCACGATAGCTTGCATTGTATGCATTCTCCAGTAGGATTCTAGGCCTTATCCAGGTAGGCCATCCTGCCACAGGTGCATTTCCCAGGCTGCAGTTGTGCACACCCCTCCCCTAAGGCAGGTGTCTCTTTGCTACATTTTATCATTCCTGAGGTCTCTTGTGTTCCTGTTGCCCTACACCTTTTGCTTTAATTACTCTTTACACTATAATTCCCTTTGTTCAGTAAGACAGGATCAGAGCACTGTACCTCTCCTCCCCACATCTTGCCCACCTTCTCTTTCCTCGTTACTTGCCCTACACCTCCTCAAGCAGCCAGCATTACGGCTGCAGTTAGAAATGCTGGTCACAGGGTGTGCCATGGTGCTACAGAGCCATTGAGCTGCAGGCAGCAGTAACAGCCATGGCCCGACAACTGCTGTGCAATCCTACCAAAATAAACGGAATTGTGATGAGGAATGGATATGTTTTCTCACACCTGCAGAGGGCTAAGGGTTTGGTGCTTTTTGGAGTGGAAGCTTACTAGGAATTACTTGGAAGTAGAGGATTAGATTTAGAAGTGGGCCACATTTCTAAAGACCTGCAAAGTCCAGATACCTGGTTTGCCCTGCCCAGGGCTAGGTTTACTTCTGATTAGGAAGAGCTGAAAGGGTATTGGTGATGCTTCTATTGTGTATAACTGCATTTTAACTGCTCTGTAACCAGCAGCATTAACATCTCTCTGTTCTTAACTGTAAAATTTAATAAGGGGTGTAGCAGCAAGTGTAAAAGTGCCTACATTTTACAGTAACAGAAATAGAATTGTAATAATTTAAATCCCGTTGACCACTGTGGAAGTGAAAATGAGATCTGGTTTTAGCTTCTGCAGAATTCAATGTATAAAAGTGCGTACACAATGCTAATATGCAAACTGCTTGACTGTGAAAAGAGTTGTTTTCAGACTAGCTTTTTTGACCTCAGTAGATAAGGATCTGTATTCAGGAAAGAAACAGATAATCTACTTCAAAGTGTGCACTTACTGCTGCTTAGGAGGTGTCTTTTTTCAGGCCAATAGGTGCATTTGGATTAAGAAAAGTTAGAGACTCCAGGTTTTGAAGTCTTGTGTTCCATCATTTTGATACTGTGAATTTTTTTGAATGCGTCAGTATTCAGCCCAGCCTGTTAATAGACTTGTCTGAACCTTTTGGATAACTCTGCCAGATACAGCTTTCTTCCCAGGCTGAACTGACCAGGATACACAACATGCACAACAGCACTGCCGGAACTCTGCATGTGGCTGCAGCGTGTAATGAGACTTGGCCCACCCAGTCACCGAGCTCTGAGTTTTCACTGGGCGTGTTGGTGCTGCTGACTTTCCTCATGGTGTTGCTATGTCTGGTCACCATCCTTGGAAACATCCTGGTGATCCTTGCTTTCATCCTGGACAGAAATCTCAGGCATCGGAGTAACTATTTCTTTCTCAATCTTGCTGTTTCTGACTTTGCAGTGGGTAAGTCACAGTGGTGGAGGCCTGTGCTAATTGTGTCCTGGGAATCTTAGAAGATGCAATGGATTTTATTTTCTGTGTGGTTTCTTCTAAGATAACTATTTCCCAAATGTTTGTAGGGGAAGGGAAAGGAATGTGTTTTAGCAGGCAACTATGCCTCAAAATATGTTATAATGAGAAATGCATCCTTTTTCATAGAAATACTTTTAATGTTGCTTCAGGAAAAAGGAGCAAGTACTACATGTGAATACTAACTGAAGGAAAAATGTTTTTTGCTACAGTTTGTGATTTACCCTTGCCCCTCCTGTAAGACTGTTCATCACACACTTCAGAATATCCTTATTTTTGACAGTGTAATTGTTTTCTTATACAGCTATGTGTGATACATCCAGGTAAATGAAGTACTTCTGTACATAGTACTAATGATTTTTTAATGTATTGCACTACAACAAAATAGTTTACCACCGGGACTTTTTACTGGCTTCAACTTAGCACAGGCTATTGATCCAATGGGTTATTTGATATCAGTAATACCATGATGGCATCTCCCATCTCTATTCCTTATTAGTCCCCTCTTCCCATAGTGACATTGCAGAACTCCAGAAGAATTGGTCACTGGAGGTGCCGTGGATCCAGTCCTGACTGGTGGTGCCAAGTGAGGAGGTGGGGGTGTAAATGTCTTGTGCAGCACTCCTCCATGGTTCAGGCCAGGGAAACAGCCTATGCAGCAGAGAAAGCCTGACAAAACCATGGTCCTGTGGCAGATGTGCCAGCAAACATGTTGACTTGAGGCTAGCTATTGATGATTGGTTAGAATCGCGAGGGCATATGAACATGACTAAAGCTATGGATGAGCTGCTAAAGTATAAGATGCAGTCCGACTAGGCCCATGAGAAAGTCTGAGATAACAGGGCCATGAGAAAGCAGCAATGACCTTGTGTATTCTAACTTGGGCTGAAAAACAGGAGCTTGGAATTTGAAAAACAAAAGCACTTAACAAGCCACCTGTGTAAACAATGGAAAGCAGTTGGGATGATATCACCTATTAGTCAAGTGCCAATTAGGAGCCTAATCTCTGTAATATGTAAGAGCCTATTATGCAGTGTATATTAAGTTGCTTTCTATCCTCAATAAACGGAGTTTTTGGATCCTTACATTAAGTTTCCAGAGCTTTCCTCGCCGACAGCTAGCAAAGAGGTATTTCTGCACACAAGTACTTTGTCTCCAGGACAGTCACAGAGACCAGTATTCACTGAATTACGAGAAAGGAAATAGCCCCACCAACCCACTGCACATCTGGCAATACAGCCTCCCCTAAATGCTGTTCCTTTGTCAGTGCTCTGTAGTGAAGTGTATTTGTCTAGCCTTTAAGGTTTTCCTTTATTTCTGCCATTTATAACTGGTGGTGCCTTATTCTGGGACTCGCCCTATGCTGCAGAAAACAAATGATGCATCTGCTGAAGCCTTTGTTTTCCTACCCAGGCAGCTGGAGCTGCTATTTCATAGCTCAGGTCTTCTGCAAAAGTCTGTTTTTCCTCATATCTCATAGTGTAGCCAAGAGACGTGAACATCTTCCTTCTGCATCAGTTCTTCTTTGTGGCTGGTGCCTCATGTAGTCTTAAATCAACCAAGAGGAAATTATTGGTTTCAGTATTACACTAGCCTATATAGACAATGTAAATCTAAGATTTTGTCTCTGGTATTGGTCAGGAAATACTTTATTTTCTGAAGCTGCTGGGTTTTGTTTGTTTGTTTGTTTGTTTGTTTTAGTTTATTTTAATTTTTGTTTGTTTCATTTTGTCATTTTGTTTGTTTCTTTGTTGTTTTGGTTTTGTTTTTTAATTTATTAGAAGTCTGGAATCTTTCCAGGGATGTGGCCCATGTCTTTTGCATCCACTAATTAGTAAAAGTGAGAATAGTTTGAAATATAAATGCTTAGAACCTGGTTATTGCCTCTATATTTATATCTACAGCTAAAATCAGTAATTTCTTTTTGACATGAAAGCAAACATTGATCCCATAGAAGTTGATGAGAACAGTAGCTGTCATCAGCAACTATGGAAAATGAGTATTTTGTACAAAAGTGTTGCTGCTTGTATCTAGGGTATGTGTTAAACAAGCCATCATTATCGAAAGAGCTGTACACATTTCCCTGTTGATAGCAGTCTGTCAGCTCATTGCCCAGAGGTTTATAGTCAGTAGGCCACATAGCCTGGTAATGTTCAGTAGCTTCTACGGTCTTGATGGACATACCAAGGAAAGAATAAGTGGGAGAGTTTAAAATGAATCTTGAAGCTGCATATAACTGTCTATTTGTCTCTGGTAGATCAGCATTTCCAGGAATGTAGTATCAGATGTTGCACCACACTTTTGAAAGAATATTAGAGGTAAAATGAAGAAGTTGCTGGCTTAAAAATAAAACACAAACATGATTTTCTTAATTAAGTACTTCTGCTGAAGGCCTTTTGGACAAAAAAACAAATTTAACAGAAAAAAATGGTTCTGGAGTTATTCTCAGGTGGAGAACAAGCACGAGATTGAAACACTCCTTAAAAAAGGGAGTTTCATACTTCTGCTGTGTCTGCTCTATCTCTGGTAGGAGACGTTTCCAAACACCACACAGACTGTCCAATATATTGTCTTTAGCTTACAAATGCTAACCAATCTTACAATAAAAACTGCCATTGGCAACAGCTGTAGATATGCCTGGGGGAAAGCTCTAAAAGACAAAAGACTAGAGGAAATACAGCGATGAGGTTACATGTCAGAATGCAGCCACAGTGCATATTTGCTGCAGCACTAATTATGTACCTTTAGAGAGTGTAAATTGGTTAGACTGCAGTTTTCTTCTTCAGTAGATCCTTCTTCGCTGATTTGCTTTGAGCTTGTTTCCAACAATCAGCATACACAAATCACACTAAGATCTAATACGTAGAAAGTCACCACCAGATTTCATGAGAATTTATGAATTTCTGTATATAAATCATATATCCACCCTAATAGATTTGTTAATTTCTTTTACCCAAATTCCATAATAATGTGTCTCTCTGCTTCCAGGAGTACCGTTTGCAGTCCATATGAACTGCGTGGTGTCTTTGTGGTTGCTTTCCATAGGTGTGTTCTGCATACCTCTCTACATCCCTTACAGCCTGACGGGAAAATGGCACTTGGGAAGAGGCATCTGCAAGCTCTGGCTAGTTATGGATTATCTCCTATGCACAGCTTCAGTATTTAACATTGTTCTTATCAGCTATGACCGTTTCCTGTCAGTTACTCGAGCTGTAAGTACCCTGTTTACAGCTTCTCTGATTTTTTTGTTGGAGGATTATATTCACCAACCTTTGCTATGTTCGTGAGTATAAGCCCAAAATTTAATTGAGATAATAGCTCTCAAAAATATACTGACATGTGGAGACTATTAGATATTTGCAGCTAGATGGGATGACTATTCCTCATTGAGCATGCTGTAGCACAGAGCTAGGCAACCAGGACTTTTCTCACAATTTCTGCTTCACGTTGTTGTTGTGTTACTGCTTGAGGAAAAGCAGGCTAAGAGGTAAAAAGGGTAAAAAAGAGGCAAGGAAAGAGGAAATTCATAGTAAACTGGATTTGGGTTTGGATGTAAAATCAGGCATGGGAGGAAAAGGCAGTGAAGCTAAGGCAGTGAAATAAAGAACATCAGGGAGGATGTCTAGACCTGAGATGTGGTCACAAATGATCCTGGAGAAGACTGGGAGCAAGAGCAAACAGGCAGAGAACGGGACAAGGGGTAGACTGCAATGATGGCCTGCAGAAATGTGGCAATAAAGTCCTCTTGGAGCAGAATCCCAAACTTCAGGTGCACTCTGTCTCTGCTTTCTGCATAGCATCCTACACACGTTGTGTGTGCTTTATGTCTCGGGTAATGTTAAAAATGGAGGCCAGCATTTCTCACCAGCTACACTGTTAGCTCAAGTGGCAGGGAATGTCAGGGAGAACTAAAGGTTCCAGCTCTTTTGTGAGGTATGAGACTGTCAACATAACATCATACAATAGAATTTCAGTCTTATTTTTGTCAATTGCAATTAATTCCACTTATAATTGTCTTTATATTAAGTTTTATTATTTTATTTTATTTTAAGGACAAAGTCTGGGAAATCAAACACCAAAACATCTGGTATGTAAGAAATGTTACACTGGAAAGCCAAAGACAGCATTTACAAAATGCAAAATTCAGAGCACCTCCATGAATATGACATTAACTCGAACTTTTGTTTTCAATTGGATATCTAAGCTCCCAGAATTGTTTACTCTCTCATTTTGTGAAAGGGGTGGAACAGGATGTGAACTGCAATATACCTCTCTGTCTACAGCATATAGTGGAAAATAGGTACTGGCCCTGGCGTGGTCGGAGAAGGAAGAAAAGGGGTGATTTTGTAGTTTCATCAGCTAAGGGCTGCATTGCAGAGCTGGAATCTATTCCTTCATTCTCATGAATGTCCAATAAGCAATTTTCTTAAAAGTGGGTGTTAAATCCATGTGCCACATTTTCTGTTGACTTGTGTGATTCATATAGCATTATTTGTCTGCAAAATACTGCAAAAAGCACTGCAGTTGCCAGCGAATGGGAGTTATACTCTGAACAACTATAAGGTACTAATTACTCTGGAACTTCAGATCACAGGTGTCTCAAACAAGGCATATCAAATTACTAGGTACTGATGGATGACCATGTTTCATACCCTGGACCATGATCCTTGTACAGCTACATTAACCTGTAGAGAGACAATCCTATGCTATGTCAACATCAATGAATTAAACATTCTTGGGTGAGCTTCCCCTGATCAGCAGAGCCACAGCTCTAAATTACCAAGCACTCTGATGACTTCTTCTGCTACTTCCCTTGGTTCCAAAATGTATCTCAAAAATCTGACCTTTTTCTTTCTTTTTCCCTTGCAGGTATCTTACAGAGCCCAGCAGGGAATAACCTCCAACCCTGCCATCAAGATGGTGGCCATATGGGTCTTAGCCTTTCTCCTCTATTGCCCAGCAATCCTCTTTTGGGAGCGTGTGGCCGGACACAGTGCAGTAGCGGCAGATCAGTGCTACGCTGAGTTCTACAACAACTGGTACTTCCTCCTGTGTGCATCCACCCTGGAGTTCTTTGTGCCACTGCTCCTGGTGATCTACTTCAATATGCACATCTTCCACAGCATCCAGAGGCGCCAGCGGCAAGGCAGTGTGCAGGACTGTGAGCCTCCAAGGAGCAGCAGCCTGTCCTGGAGATTTTGCCCTTTACCAAGGTCAGGGGCATCTTCTCCTTCCTCGGAAGCAGAGGACAGTGTTTCTTCTTCCATGAGACCAAAGAAAGAGTTTTTGGTAACTGACTGTTCATCTCCATCCAGAGGGAATTCTGTTACTCCAGAAAATGAATTTTCTGTTTCCCTCTGTTCAAAGACTAGGTCAAAACTGGAGCAAGACAAGAAAATCGCGAAGTCACTTGCCATAATTGTCTGTGTGTTTGCCATTTGCTGGGCCCCGTACTCTATATTAATGATTATTCGTGGGGCCTGCCAGGGAACTTGTGTCCATAACTCCTTGTATGAAGCAACTTTTTGGCTTTTATGGATCAATTCCTCTCTGAATCCATTTCTTTACCCTCTATGTCATGTTAAATTTCGAATGGCTTTTCTGAAAATATTGTGTCCCAAAAAGTTTGCCACATTGAGATCAGGATCTTTTTAGAAGGAAAAAAGAAAAAGAAGAGCTGGATGAGGAACGTAAATTGCCACAGTTTGAAACTAGATTTAGTCTTTTCCAAGAGACTAGTCTAGTTCGAAAGTCTAAACAAGCCTTCCATGAAATGTGAAATGTCCTCCTTCAGACAAACATGCATGCCCAAGATTTATGGACTTTTCCCAGCTATTTCAATTGGCCACTTCGAGGCTACTGCCTCTGTCTGACTTTACCTAGTAGTCTATCCATGTTATCTTAATTCTAGTTGCTGAAGATACTATCTTCAGTTGCAGTACAACTTATATTTGTGTTTACGGGTGATATTAGTTAAAAATACAATGAAGTTGGGTATTTGCTGTAGTATTCTAAAGTACTATCTTCTCTGTTCTATTTCTTTTGAACAATTTGTATTGCATTCAGAATCTAATTTTTCCCTACATCAAACATCCAGTTAAGTTATGAGTTTTGTTGCCAGATACCTAGCAGGATTATTTTGTTTCACTAAAGGTTTTTGGCCATTTTTCAAAAAATCGAGTGTATATGTTCACTGCAGAAGAGCATTACTCTGTGTATTTGCTAAGATGCAGCAGTAGAGAATTTAGGTGTGTAAAGCATTTATGTGAATATCCAGCTATTCTCCAAGAAACAAGCCTTCTACAGCTGTAGTTTTGAGAGATCATAGGAAAGCGTAGTATTTTTTCTTAATCCTTGAGGGTTAAAATCCACTGCTGCTGGTTGAGGGAAGGTGTCGTGGTGCATCCCCACTCCCCCACGGGTAACATTGTGATCTGAGAAATGTTCATTAGGCCTCAGCTGAAAATGGGATACAACAGATGAAAATAACATAATGCAAAGAATGCATGAAAGAAACACATAATTTAAAAAAAAAAAGACTAAAAGGGAAGAATCTCAATTCTGATATTTTTAAAGTTTTTTAAATGCTAGGAAACTCTGATAGATGGTCAGCCTTTTGGGAATAAACTTGTGCAAGATTCAGGCGTGAAGTGCTGAGGAAGAAGAGTCATCCTTACACCTGCAGGTGAAAACATGAATGTGAGTTCAGTGTCAGGAGAATGATAGCCAGGGACACAGCCCTTATTTGCCTGTGTAATCACTAATTAATTAAAAAAGCTGCATTGTGACAGATCCAATAAGAAGATGTTGGTATCATCTCCAAACAGACCACGTGATTACTCAGCCCAGCCTGGTCTTGTTCCACTGTCACACTCAGCTGTTGAGGTGAAAAGTTACATCCTTCTAAAGACTTTGGCCTATTATAACTTCCTTTGGTTATTTTTTCCTTCCTGTTACATTTTTGTTTGACCTAACAGAGGCTAAAATGCGAACTTATGAAGTCTCTGGTGTAACTGAGTTCACAAAAACATATTGGTTTTTCTATCTCCTCTCCAGCATTCTTTGAATAGACTTCTTGCTTGTTATTTTGACTAAATGTCATCTTTTTAGTCAATGCCTAAACAGCACTGACCATTATAGGATCTTGGCCAATGAGCTAAATTACCGCTAAAAGTGAGCAGATATATATATCCAAAGCAGATCAGAATACAAAACACAAGTGCCAATACAACCATCAGTGTTCCTTAAGTGCAGTGTGTACCAGGCTTTTACCCTGCAAAGCTTTTGTCATTCTTTTAAAATGCATCTTTTAAAGTCAGTAATGATGAACGTGTGCAAACAGATCCTTTTGTGCCAGCTTTTAGAACAAATGGCTCCTTAATGTTTAGGAGATATGCTTTTGATAGTGTTAGCAATAGGGATTAAAATATCTCATTCTGAGCATTCAAATATCTACTTTTGGTTAGGTTTTTAAAATGATATCTTTGAAATTTAGCCATTGCCATGTGTAGATAAGAACACATACTCTTATATTTATGACATTATATTTTTTTTGTTCTTCCTCGCTCATGTCTTATAGTCTAGACTCAACAATCTCAGAGGTCTTTTCTAACCTAGTTGATTCTGTGATTCTGTCTTTTGCTTGCTTCTCATACCAGCCTGCTCTCTGCCACAGCTCCTTGGTACAGGCCAGAAAACCAGTTGGATGCTGGTATCAACAGGGAGTTATAAATAAGCCGCCTGAGGCCTTGTGAAGTCAGTGACAGCACCCTGTGCAAAGGCAAGGAAAAGCAAGTTGAGTTTAGTTGATATAAGCCTAGTCGTCTGAGGGCAGTAAAACAACTAACGCTGCCTCCATTTGGGCTGACTTGATGTGTTAAAAGTTGTCAGAATCAATACTCTAACTGGACAGTGCTTCTTGGTGCAAACTTGGTTTTAGGAACATGGGCAGACATTTCAGGAATATCTCTGGCTCATTTCTGGCACCCTTTGCAACTGTACTGGGAAATAAATTTTAAATATAATTGTCTCTGTCAGTTTTTGTGAGCTATTGTTAGTAGCATAGGGGAGTAAGAAAGAACCTAGTGGGCAAGAAAAATTGAGTGGTTTAGATGAGGGGCTGGATTAGTCTTTTTATACTTCTGATGTAGAAGTCATTAGCAGCAGAGAAAGGCACGAGATCATAGTCACAGAATCATAGCATCAATACTATGGTTTAGGTGGGAAGGGATCTTAAAGATTATCTAATCCCAACCTCCGTGCCCTGGGCAGGGAGGCCTCCCACTAGACTAGGTTGCTCAAAGCCCCATCCAGCTGGACCTTGAACAATTCCAGGGATGGGGAATCCACAACTTCTCTGGGCACCTGTGCCAGTGCCTCACCAGCCTCATAGTAAAGAATTTCTTCCTAATTTTTCAAGATAAACCTAACCTCTTTCAGCTTAAAGCCATTCCCCCTTGTCCTATCACTACCCGCCCTTGTAAAAAGTCCTTCTCCAGCTCTCTGGCAGGCCTCCTTTAGGTTTAAGGTCTCCCTGGAGCCTTTGCTTCTGCAGGCTGAACAACCCCAACTCTTTCTGCCTGCCCTCACTAGGGGAGGTTCTCCAGCCCTTGGATCATCTTTATATCCCTCTTCTGCACTTGCTCCAGCAGGTCAATGTCCTTTCAATGTTAGGGATCCCAGAGCTGGACGCAGTAGTCCAGGTGGGGTCTCACAAGATCTCTGTACATTGTACCCGTTATCCTTCAGCCAAGCTGCAGAAATATTGGGAACTGTCAGGGGGAAGTTTAGACCAAGAAGATTTTTATGGACTGTGAATCCCTGTGGAAGTCACACAAGTAAACTGCATTACTGACCTAAGTGCCGATGACATGAAATTTTTCCTATACTGGTTTGAACTCATAGTCAGTGCAGGTCCTGCAGGCCATGGCATGGGATCTGTGCTAATGAAAGACATTGGTAAGGGTGCTGGCTAGAGGGAAAATCTGATACTGCTGTCAGATGCAAATTTCACTTCTCCCTTGGATTGACAGAACCATTTGGAATTTTTCACATTTGCATTATTTCATGAGAGTGACCAGACAACTTCCTGCCTTTATAAATATATGTTGTTTCAAAATACCAGAAATACCTGAAAATTGCTATGAAAATGTGTAAAGAAAAAGTTTTAATAAACAACATTCAGATGTGCGTCTAAGACCAAAAGCTTTTTAGGAGGAATTTGTCTAGATCTTGGAAAGTTGTAAGTTGGTTTTTTTCAGTTTCATTACTGAACAACAGCTTAGTCCTTCATAAAAAATATTCTTTGGGCTCTAACCAAAATTCTGATGCAGGACCTGTTGCTGACCAAATCTTAGTCAAGAACAGTTAAGTCTTATTGCTATTTGTGTGAGTGCCTTGTGGGCACCCAGTATGACTCAACTGCCATGACTGTCCTCCTCTGGAGCTCCACCCCTGACATCCTGGCCTTGGGCCCAGGAACATGGTTAGACTGGGGTGGTCCTGGACTGAGCTACCTGAGTGCCTGCAGGCTGCTTTGAGCTCCATCTTTTGCATTTTTTTTAGGTTTTGATTGGACTTCTGAGTTTGGCCTCAGAAGCAGACTGTTTCCATTCTTACATCACTGGTAATCACTAGGAATTGCCCTCCCAAGACTTTTCCCCTCTAGGTTTTTTTTCAGGATCTGGCTACTATACTTCAAGCTGGATCAAACTTTCCTGCCTTTAAATGTTTGTGCAGTGCTCTGACCTTCACTTGTGTGCATACTTGTTCTCTCATTTTCTCTCCTTGCTAAACAACTCTGCCCCAAATTTTTATCTTAAATATGTGGATTTTTTTTGATAAAAACTCTCCCTTATCACTCTGTCTTTAAAGAAGACAGGCCTATTGGTCGCAACAAGACTCAATATAACCAGCAGTGACTGTTCACTGATATGCTCTCTCTTGATCTGTGGAAACCTTTAAAAATCAGCTGCTCTTTTCTCTGTTTTCTGTAGGACAAGGTACAATATTTGTGTTTGTTCTCTTCATGCTGGTGTTTCTTGGTCACTCTACCTAGGCCATTTTATTTCTCACTCCTAGGGATGAGAGCAGTCACACTGCATTGTAGGTGCCTTGTAAAGCAGCAGGCCAGCTTTCCCCAACCACCTGCATTGGCAACAAAATCAGTGTGATTTAGGAGGGGTCTGACTTAACCCCTTGAAACTACAGTTGAGAGAGCCTGTTCATCCCCTGATAGACTTGTGAAGGTGTAGTGGGCTGACCCTGGCCAGATACCAGGTACCACTAAAGCTGCTCTCTCCCTCTGTAACTGGACAGGGGGGAGAGAGAAAAAACAGCTAAGAATTCATGAGTAGAGATAAGAGCTGGGAGTGGTCAGTGACTGATTACCTTCACGGGCAAAACAAGACTTGAAGTGAGGATAGTACTTATATTTATTACTAACAGGATAAGAGCCAAAGAGTGAGAAATAAAACAGTCTTAAAAACAACTTCCCCCCACCCTTTCTTCCTTCCATGTTCTCCCTCCTCCCTCCCAGCAGTGCAGGGGGATGGGGAATGGAGATTACGGTCAGTTGTTGTTTCTGCCGCTGCTCAGGGAGAAAAGTCCTTCCCCTGCTCCTGTGTCTCCCACAGGAGACAGTCCTTGATGGACCTCTCCAGCGTGAGTCCATCCCTCGGGCAGCAGTTCTTCCC